AGTTTCAGTGTGTCATATTGTTCTTTAATTTAGCCGGAATAGCAAGCTGCTTTCGATCATCTGTACACGTGCCATTTAATTTGTGTATTACACAAATCTTTCCACGAAACAGACAGTTTTAAGTGCAAAAGGTGCGAAAGTGCAGAATCACTCCAGCATCCCCTTAAGAGAATATTTTACCCTGTTCGATCAAAACAAACTACTTTCACATTTTTCCATTATGTGGACTATCATGTTAAAGTTATGATTGCAAAAGTTTCTTATGAATGCGACATGATTGTGGGTCCCTAGAAATTATTTCTACGTACAGAGTATTGTCTACATTCCTCTCTTCTCCGTATCGCCCCTACTATTTTCCCCATACAACTCAGCATTCTGCCTCCCTTCTATATTTTCCGATGCCCCTAATTTTTATTCCTGTTACATGATATCTCCCCCCCCCCCAATTGCTATTCTGCGTACGTTTCATCCGCCTCTGCCGCACGTACGTCTGTTCATCCCATTACGCTCTCTTTTTACGTCCCGTTTCTTTTTAAAGAAAGATCTTCCCGTACACTCTAAGAAATTTTATTCCAGGGTGAGATAAATTTACCTGGCTATCTTTATCCACGTCTATTTCTGCATCGTTCTTTATTATTTTTTTTCTTTAAGCGCGCGCACCGATTTTCGCCGATATGTTTAGACCCGACCCTGAGAGTGACCGTGCGAAAAAGGCTGAAAGTTTAGCGGGTTGCCCCAGTTTTCCCGAAAGAGCGGCGGCGGCGGCGGCGACGGCGACGGTGGCGTCGGCGGCGAGGGTAGTGGTGATGGTGGTGGTGCTGCGAGGCGGTGGTGAAAAGAGGGTTGCGACGCGGGGTTGCAGCGCGCGCCAGAGAGAGTCAGCTTATTTCTATCGATCCTGACGATAGTTCGCAGTGGCCGCCTCGGCGGCGCGGCGCATGGCGACACGGCACGGCGCGGCGCGGCGGCCACCTATGCTCCGCGGCCTTTAATCCGTCGCGACGCCCCCAACCGACGTCGGGACATCGCCGTTGATTCGCGGTCGAAAGAGAGCACGGAGAGAGAGAGAACCAGCAACAACGTCGCGCCAGCTGGTCCCAGAGATCGCGCGTCATCTCGCCCTCGCTCCACCTCTCTCGCCCTCGCTCTCTGTTCCTCCCTTTTGGTCCACGGCCGCTGTCCTCCCGCGGCCCGCGATCGATTCACCCCCGCGATCGCGATCGACCGCGGGCGCATCCGGGACGTTCGCCGATCCGCGCCGATCATCGACGAGAGTGCATCGCGACGAGACACCGCTCCTCGGCGACGGCCGCGTCCTTCCGCAGCGGAACCGCAGCGGCGTTACGTCACCGTTCCGTCATTCCGCGCTGCGGAGGAACAGGTGCGCGTCTCGCGGGGTGTCCGTCTCGCGAGTGCGCGGCCAGTGCGAGCGGATCGAGCGGGACGAGCGCGGCCGTCTGCGTTCGTTGAGATAGATCGCCGCCGGGAGAAAACTCGGACATGGTGAACGAGACATTAGTCGGCGTGCACCTGTTTGTTGGCGAAACCGAGTGCGTTATCGACGTGGACGCGTGTAAAACTGGATGCGCGAGACGCTACCCTCGCTGATGCAAGCCTCGATGATGAGACGGGGAGAGCGAAGTGCTCTAGGAACGGGGGATGCGGTTGAAATGGTACGAGAGAGTACGGTACCGTTATTATATACACGCTGTATTAGGCGGAATTGCTCTTGGAGGAGAGCGGGGAAAGACGGGGAATGGTTTGAGGGTTGACAGTAAACAGTAATCTGTGCGATTGCCGCATGATCTTCCGAGGAGCAAACGAAACAGTGGATAAAAGCTGCGGTTCAGCTGTCGCTTCAAATGTTTCCAAGTGTGTTTCTTCTCCTTTCAGAAAAGATAGCGGAAGAGAAACACGTCGAAGCATCTGGACTGATCTCTTTCGCAAGGTCGTATCTCGAGTTTGTGCAATTTTCGGCTTTTATGCTTAAACCTGGCCTGACCAGAAATTGCGTAACATCGAGATACGACCTTGCGAAAGAGATCAGTCGATTTGTAGCGGCGGTTTGACCGCAGCTAAAGACGTACTTGTACGAGTGATTCTGTACGCAGCGTTTCAGAAACTACCCAATTACGGAATTCATTAAAACGTTGGCAACTTGTTGATGAATCCCTAAACTGATCGTATTTAGCTTTCAATTTTTGCGAGCTCTAAACTCTTGGCGGTATTACGGAAATTGAAGCACGACCCTGGATATCTGGACGGTCCGAAGTATCGACAACTCACACGTGACTTTGATGCGTTTAGTTTCGCTTGCATTTTCACTATTGACCTCGGTTAATCCGCGAATGTATGTTCACGTGCGAGAAGACTCGCTAAAGCGTGTGCGTCGAGTGGCCGCCCCGATTTGAACATCCGCTTTAAATGTACTCGATTTAAAGTCACTTACAACATCGATATCTATGGCACACATAGACCGCGTAAAAAGTTTTGTAAAATAAAGAGCTGAACATTTTTCGGGAACTCGACGGATTATGCTCACGCTTTACTCGCGCATTTAGTTCTAATTCCATTAACTGGTTACATGTCTACAAATTCATTTCCACGCGTATTCACGTAATGCAATATTACGTCACATCTATTATAGATGCAACGATGAGGCCCTAATTGTTAGAGGAAAGTCCTCCATTATGAAATTCTAAGGTGGGATCGAGGGGTTGAACCGCTGATCAAAATCGTGTACACCAATGCCTAGTAATGCCCAGTGGGCGTTACTTTAATTATTATTTTATTTTATCTTATTTATCTTGTTTTGTCTTATTTTAGCTTTGTAATGCCCCAGCAAGGCCTAATGCCCAAAAAATGCCTAGTAATGCCCAGTAATGCCGTAAATCTGTACACCAGAATGCCCTCAGCGGTTTACTCCTCGTGTGAGATACCTAGTAGGTTTTCAACGTCCAAATTTGATCACAAATTTTTTTCGCAACGATTACACGATCTAACAATCAATTTTCCACTAAACAAATTTCACTCCAAGGGTGGATCCGACAGATGACGCCCAATTAATTTAGCAGAAACCCCGCTGTCTCATATTAGGAGTCTGTCTCATAATCGGGGACTTTCCTCTATATTAATCCGCGAATCGTCCTCGCGCACGTTATCAGACAAGCATTACTGCGAGGCGAGTCAGATTCCTAAACCGCAGAAACGTCTCGAGCTGTCGCACCGTCGTGATTTATCGTCTCGTCCGGCATTCACGGGCGCGAGGCTATACCCTCCCCTTCATTGGGTATTGCGCAACATCGCGAGACCGGAAAATCTGTTTTCCGCGACGACGCCACCCGTCGCGAAAGGGGGTCGCGGCACGCGTTGCGAGTACGCGTAATTAAAGCCGCGAGAATTGAGAGCGCGCGATTGACGGCGTGCCGCGGACGTGGCCAGTTAGCGACACGCGCGTCAACGTCGACTGGCGGAAACGTATGGCTGCGGACGTCTACGCGCATCCGGTGCGCGCTCTCCTGACTCCACCGCCACGTGGAGACGCGTAAAGCACAGTGTCGCGCGAGCCAATCGCGACGGACGGACCGATTCGACAGCCGTATCAATCACCGAGCGGTTCTTAATAAATTATAGATAAGAGTTGCGATAAAAAGATACCCGTTGTTCTCTCCCGATGTACCTCTTCTCGGATTTTCTGTATCTTCTTGTTCACGCTGGAGCTATTGGCGAGTGATAAATAATGGTTCCACTAAACTCTCTTGTCGTTTAACAATTAATTACATTGTGTGTAGTGATGGCCAGAATGGTTGCAACACTTTTTCTTAATGACCTTAGGAACGTGCATTTAGATTGAGGGTTGCGTTCCAAAATCTACTTCTCCGAGGAATATTTTACTCGATGGCCATTCCGAAACCATTTATCTACTGCTTGAGTAAAAGTTTTCCCCGTAGAAAATGTTTTGGAACATAAAACCTGAATCTAAATGCGCGCTCCTAAACTCGTTTAAAACAAAAAGTGTTGCAACCATTCCGTCCACCGCTGTACAGTGGTGCACGAAAATGGCGAGCTTTATTAGAAGAGATTTTATTCCCTAAAAATAAATCAGTGAATTATCACTGAACACGGTGAATAGTCACTGATTAACAGTTACAAGTATACTACGGTGACTTTCAGTTATATACTGATAACTGCAAATCAGTGACTATTTATCACTGAAAACGGTGAATAAGTCACTGATTTGCAGCTACAAGTATACTACTGTAACTTTCAGTTGTATATTTATAACTGCAAATCAGTGACTATTTATCACTGTACACGGTGAATAGTCACTGATTTGCAGTTATAAGGATACAACTGAAAGTCACAGTAGTATACTTATAACTGCAAATCAGTGACTACTTCTCACTGAAAACGGCGAATAGTCACTGATTTACAGTTACAAGTATACTACTGTGACTTTCAGTTGCATACTTATAACTGCAAATCAGTGACTACTCACTGTTTTCAGTGATAATCCACTGATTAACTTTTAGAGAATACGAAATTATTATTTAAGAGATTATGCTGAAGATGAAGTCACCTCGATGATTTCTTTAATATCTTTTCGCGCTGTCATTACATGTAAAAGTAATGTACGATAAAATAAAAGTCTATGATATCGGTGTGTTAAAAGGTGCGCATGTGGGATGGTCAGTGATATGGTCCAATTTCATCGTGTCTTCCGGTTGTAAAGTGTTCGATCACAATTGACTCGTTTCGATCTATCGGCAATAAATGGACGATAATGCCAGTGTTTCTCTGAGACGTGTCCAATCTCTTTTGTAAGATCCTGTTCTTTTTGTTGGTAGCGAGACTCATTGGTATTCATGCTAGGAACACGAGCTACTTTTTCACACGCCATGACAACACAAAGAATTAACTGTGAGATGGCACAGCATTATTTCCATTAGTTGATAATGTAATAAGTAATACAATAATTTGTCGAAATAATAATATTCTACGAACGCATCAAAATGCATCTAGAGATATTTTATTTTATAAAAACAAATCAAAACGCTTAAAGCATTTGCCGACAACGTACAATTGTACAGTGCATATTACGCAATTTATCAACTTGCACAAATTTTTTTAGCGTATTTATCGACTACAAAATAGAACGTTTCCAGACGCAAAGAGTACGTTGTAGATTAGGCTTCAAGCTAGCGCTGCACTATGCGCGATTCGTGACTCGTATATTCGTGAATAGTGTGAAGGAAAAATTTGCTATGCACAATTCGCCATTCGCAGTGATTCGCTAGCCGAGAGGTTTTTCTTCGAACGAAAATAGTAGTTCTTTGACTAATATTGAAACCTGACTAATCGTAAACTTTATAATACAAGTCCTATAAAGGCCTGCAGCCACGATGCTAGAACTTGGTCCAAGTTCTAGTTTCGAGAAATATGTAGCCAATCAACTCGCAGCTATTCCACAAAAGCGCGGAACTTGGACCAACTTGTAACATCGTGGACACAGGCTTTAATAACAGGTAAAAGTTTAAAGTTGTCCAAGTTAACACGAACGAAACAAGAAATAACAAATTACGAATGACAAATAATGTAGCAAGTAATAACATATGTGATCCAATGAATTTCTGCGAGGCACGAATCGCGCATAGTGTAGCGCTCTAGCTTAAGGATGAGCGAAGGGCGAGCTAGCTCTCGGATGCGTTTTCGCGGCTGTCACGCGAGTCGACAGCGATGTAACGCGAACTTGACTCGTGTCCCCGGCGGCAGCGTACCTAACCGTTTAATCCGAGGTCTTCGTTAACGCGAGGAAGAGAAAGCCGTCGTCGAGCGATTGCGCCTCGAGGTTGCACGCGTCGCTGGCAGGAGTCTTCGTGTTGCAACACTGCAACCACGCAGCCCCCGACGACGATGACGACGCGCAACCCTCGCGCTTTCGCTCGTCCCTTGAAATTGAATGGACATCCGACGGGCGAGCGTGCCCATAAATAAAGGGCCTTCAAACGGCGCGATAAAGAAACAACGTATGAATGTTGCATTATCGAAGAGCTCTCCCGCTACTTTGTTCGTCGAACGTGGCGGACTCGACGCCGGAATGATCGAGGCGCTTTTTCCAGCCCTTGTGCGTTAGTAAACCTCCGCGAATTGATTTCTTCAGTCTGTTTATGCCCGCTACATGTGTGTGTAGAGCCGCGCGTGTGTGTAAGGGCGTAAACACATGGATTAGTGTCCCGCCGACTCGGCCGCCCGATGCGTAAGCGCTTACGTAGGGCGTTTCATTGATCGACGCGCTTTTGCGTCACGCTCGTGCCGTTTATACGAATTCACGTGCGATGGCCATTACTGGGCCGCTTGCCATTCATATTCACGACATTTTACGATATCAAAAAGCCAGTTACGTGAAAATCGGTTCTGATAAACTTTTCGAAAAGAGGGACGACCCCTCTGTGGCCCCTTTTTGCTTCCTTTTTTCTGTAACGTAGAGCCGTCCAGATGTACTTCTCTGCCGGGAGAGAAAAACGGTTTCCTAGACAAATTTATATTTGTGAGACAAAAAAATTTATTTAACAAATGAGAAACGTTGAAATGATATTTCTTTGAATTTACTAAATCTTTATTTACTTGTACCGAAACATTTGCTGTATTTGAAGAAATAGATATGAGTTCTCTTAGGCCCGGGTTTTCAATATCTGATTGTTAACCAGAAGTTAGTCGACTCTCCATCTTTTTCTGTGTTATTATGTGAGAAGAAACCGAGAGAGTCGACTAACTCATCGACTAACCTCTGGTTAACAATTAACCAGGAAATGAAAAACCGGCCCTTCGAGTTTCCAGTCTCAATAAAATTTTGGTTAAGGCAAAGAAATCATTTCTTTGAAATTAAGTGAAAGCCTAGTAAGGTCAAAGTTCAAAGAAAATTTGTTTCATTTCAAAGTAACTTTTTTCTGGGTGTATAGTTGATACGACGAACATTCTTTAATTCAGATCTATTGCTGGCACAATGTCCGACTCTGAAATTGTTATGCGATTGCCCTAAACTTGAAAAGGATCGGAATTCACGGTCGAAACGTTGTGCTTTGTATAAAGAAACATTTTAGCCCCAGTTATACGTCGAATCATTTCTAAACCTCTGTTGTTTTATTCACTGGCGGAGAAAAGAATTTCAGCTTTATATGCTTTCTTTTTTTCTTTTTTAAGTCGATAGCGATCATGAATTTATGCACGTGTTTTCGTGCTGGATAATGAGCTGCATTGAGAAATTGGCCGATAGCTTCATTCTCCGCGGGAAATCTGTGCGGCTCGTTAAAATTTCACGGTGATTAAAGTTACGATTTCGGGATTAATTGGTGCATTTCGCAACCGAATACGATCCCCGGCGTTATTTTAATGAAATTCCCACTTTCGTTCAAGAAAATTCGTGTCCGACCGCATAAAGACGCATTTTGTGACGCGAGAGCGAAGCAGCGTTTCAGCGCGTACTCGGAATGCCGTCATTCGCGCGAGTCCTCGCATTATGCGTCTCGTTACGGCGAAGTACACTTCAGGTCCGCGAAAACCGCGTGGCGCGGCGACATGAATTTCCCGACGGGGCCTTCTAATTAACGTGGTAATCACGCCTTATAAGAATCGCGGAAATTTGCATTTTTATTCGCGATTAAAATGCGAACGCGTTGACGCGCGAATCATATCTGGGCGTGAATCTTAAATCAGGAACGCATCCACACGCCTGTCTATGATTCATAAATATTTATATATCAGTTCATCTTCTCGACGTCCTTGGAATACTGCGGAAATTACCCGACCTTATCTCAAGATATACAGGGTGTTACGGATAAGGTGTTCATCCGCTGGTATACAGGTAGAGCGGGTTAAACTGAAAAGAAAAGTTATATACCATTTTGTAAAATTCCCAATAGTTATCGAGTAATTAATTAAAACGTCCGAGCGAATAAGCGCGAGGAAAGCGGCAGGATCCTAAAGTCTGTTTTACCGACACACTCGAATATACTTCTTGCGCTAGTAAATCTTTTCATTAGCTTTTATGCACAAAATAATGCCAGGATAAGTTGCGGACCGCATAGCAGAACATTTTCGTTAAAACACTCCGGTCAAAAGTCTAACGAAAAAGATATTGGTATTTGAAATTTTCAATTTTTTAATCGTGAGCAATTTGAAAATGGCTTTATAAAATTACAAAATTCTTCCACACGATTATAGTACGCATAAAAACAAAGCGGGGGGTTCACGACTTTATATAAAGAACGAAGAGAAAATATCAATATAGACCGAGTCCGGCCTACTGCTTCTCGTGCGTTCATTCGCCCAGATGTTTTTATTCATTACTCGAAAACTATTGCGAATTTTACAAAACGGTACCTAACTTTCCTTTCTCAGTTTAATTCGCTCTACCCTGTATACGAGCGGATCAACACCTTATCCGTAACACCCTGTATATATTGTTTTCATAAAAATGTGCGTTATACAATCGTTAATAACTGATTTCACATTGCTGCGAGTACTTTCGGTGCTAAACATGGACCGTCTCGTTTACTTCTTCCAGGGAGGTGCGTACCGTCGTACTGAATAAAGGCTCCTCTGGCCTGGGCTTCAACATCGTCGGCGGTGAAGATGGCGAAGGCATCTTCATCTCGTTCATTCTAGCCGGAGGTCCGGCCGATCTCAGCGGTGAGCTACGCAGAGGCGATCAGATATTGAGCGTTAATGGTATCAATCTCCGAACAGCCACCCACGAGGAAGCCGCCGCGGCTCTCAAGGTGAGATCTTCGGCCGATGGCATCGTTATTAAACAACGTGCGTTAATCGTCAGTGAAATTCACGAGGCCACTTTGGCCTCGGCATTAGACGACAAATCCGCTGAAAGGAGTTCAGTGCGAATCTCGTTAACAAGCATTCGAATTAAAATACTAAATTCGATAGTGGTTTTGACGTTTTAATATTCGCAAATTATTCTTTACGGAAAATTTCGAGAGTTGCGATTCGTCGAAAATAACGTATACGCTTTTTTCGTGTTCACGCGGCATTCAGGGTACCGGTCAAACAGTGACAATCGTGGTGCAATACAAACCGGAGGACTATAATAGATTCGAGGCGAAGATCCAGGATCTTAAACAGCAAATCTCGCAACAGAATGTGATGACAGGCACCCTCATGAGGACCTCCCAGAAGAAATCACTCTACGTGAGGTAATTCCGCGCGCGTTTATCACACTCTCGCGTCATTATCCCCCGCCGCTTAATCGCCCGTCGCGCGCGGAGGGGTGTAGCGGCCGATGTAGAAATCCTTTAAACGCAGTTTAATTGGCACACGCAACTTCGCGTGCGCGTAAGTTACGTAAGGTAAACTGTCACGATATTTTCCCCCCAAAGAGCGTTGTTCGATTACGACCCCAACAAAGACGACGGTCTGCCGAGCCGCGGCTTGGCGTTCCGTTACGGCGAGATCCTGCACGTGACGAACGCCAGCGACGACGAATGGTGGCAGGCGAGAAGAGTCACCCCGCAGGGCGAGGAAGAGGGTCTGGGCATAATACCCTCGCGCAGGCGATGGGAGCGTAAGCAGCGTGCCAGAGACCGCTCCGTCAAGTTCCAGGGGCACATGCCGGTCATTCTTGATAAGGTGAGTACGACGGCAATTTCACAAAGTGTTTCTAATTTCGTCGAAAATAGCGACGCACTACGTGATATAACTTGCACACGATTTTATTTCGAAGGATTATGTAAACGCAGTTTCTCCTTAAAACATTCAAGCGATAACTCGAAAATTACCGGACAGTTTCACTGTAAAGAAATTACGTGTAAAATTACAATTGTTGTAGCGGGTAATATTGGGACCATCTATTGCATACATCAGTAAATTTACGCATTGTATGTAAAATTATTACCTCGCATAATAAGTAGGCTGCTTGCCTTTAATTGTGTAAATTTTACAATTTTTCGTAATTTTTCATCGCGTATAAATAAGTATTTACACAACAAAGAGTAAAAAATTTTTTTGTACAAGTAAATTGTATATTACACATTGTATAATCGTACATTGTCGACAAACGTTTTAAGCGTTTTGATTTGCTTATGTAAAGTAGAATATTTCTAGACGCAGAAAGCACATTGTAGATTAGGCTTTCACAAGATACTTTGTCTCTCGATAGTTTTCGATACTCGATTTGACTTCTCATCTCGAGGATATTCGAGATAAAATACTAAATCGTTGAATCTGATAAAAAAATTGATAACGAATCGTTCGCTTTATTCTTTTAAAATCAACTAGAAATTTTTGATAAAGTTTCTTTGCAGTCTGAACTGTCGGTTTTGCGACATTCTCGCGATGCGAAATGATTTGTAAATTTGCGTAATTGAAAAAAAGCGGGTTCAATCGACAATGTTTCATTCAGACTCATTAACTCTAACGTAAAGACATCTCTCCATTACGTATTCATCACGATCGATAGCCACATGGGCGTTTTTGCTCGCAAATTTGACACGACCAAAGAAATAATTTCAAATTCGCGTGACAAACATTGCAGCTGTGGTATTGCCTCTCTAAAAGGTATACAATTCCTCCGCAAATGGCAACGAATTGCGAATTATAAAATAACAAATTGACATTTATGCGATTGTGCAAACATTCAAATGCATTCAAATGCAAAAATCGTACAACTTTGTACAAAAATTATCATATAATTTAATGCTTTCAGATTTCTGTACAAATCTGATTATTTTAACTACACGTTTTCACTGTATTTCTTTCAAAACTCGCGACTGGCCCTATCGACGCACGTAATTACGAAATGTGTGGCTTGTCGATCGCATCGCAGTAAACTCGTTGATTTCAGCAATCGACATTAGACCGGAAGAAGAAGAACTTCTCGTTTAGCAGGAAGTTCCCATTCATGAAGAGTAAAGACGACAAATCCGAGGATGGCTCCGATCAGGAACGTGAGTGTCTAGAATGTGATTGTCACTCCCTTGTCCCTCCTGCACGTTCTGTGCATGTTCTGGCCCATTTACTGTGTTTTACGTGTTTTTTCTCGCCGTATGTACTCGCCTGTACTTATACCGTGCGATTTAACCGCTGAATTACGACGTTATTCCTCACCCTCAATACTCGGGCCGCAGTCTTCGCAATCGATGGATTCGATTTTTATTAATAATTTATAATTCTACATCCCCTGCAGCAAACCCGGAAAGTTTGACTGATGACATTGTAACTCAAACGCTGTCAATATTGGACGCGTGTATTCTCTTTCGTCACTTATTACATTAGTAAAGCAACTTTACCTCTGTCCTGCCAGTGTTCGCCTAAATATCGACTGCAGTTCTAATTTTCTTTATAATTATCGTTTTAAAGAATAAATTCTTCGAGATTTTAATATCACGCAGGGCGCGTTACGTGATTTTCTGTGCGAAGATCGTGAATATCATTTTTGCTCGAGCAAATAAGACTACGTCGGTATGAAGTCCCGGCTTCCGGAGCGGTGAGCCCCGATCAGACATGCCCAAGTCCCGAATGAGCTTTTGTGTTTTACGATGTGAAAACGTGACATGTGTTTTGTTTTGCCTGCTTGTGTAGGAACGCCCACCACACCCGAGAATGAGAACGATCCCACCCGTAAGTATCTTAATTAGACAAGTAATAAGCTCTGTAAATGTGCGCTTTCGCCGTTTTCCATACGCAGTGACGCGCAAGCTTTGCAATCCGCGCCGAAACACACGGTTTGGGACGAAATTTCAGCGATGCGCCAAGAACGTAATTAACTTGAAGAATCATTTCTTTTCCGACGCGTCCAGTAAATTGCTGATCGTCAGAATTGAAGAATTGAGAATGCAAGATCTCATTTCATCATAATGAAAGTTTTGTTTACGGGGTGTAATTCGCCTCGTCCCGGATCGAGATTCGGGTTCTGGCCGAGATTGAATCTCGCAGTGCTGCATCGCGCGCGACGTCGCCCGCGGGCGACCACTGTGCATCATTCAGCAGTCGCAGCGGCTTCATTTGCGTCCCTCCGACCTCGCTTGCGCATGCACGCTGCACTTTGAACTTTTCTGCCACGCGCAGAATCTCTGAAACTAACACCCCGACCGACACACTCTCACCTACGCTCTCGACTCCGCTTCTAACTTTCGGCTTCTCACTGTTAGAGGTTCACAGGTAGCTCGTAGTAAACGGTCCAGCACGGTAGAGCCGAGGTTCCTCTCAGTAGCTCGCATTCTGTCTCTCTTTCTTTATTTTTTTCTTTCGTCCACGGAAGGCTAGCGATGCGATAGAAACGCATCCCATTCATCATCGTGCCATCGAAAATCACGTGTCACGAAGCACCACCATCCTCCATCCAGATGCATTCAGCGACACCTCGGGTTCGGCAAAACCGAGAGGAATATGTTTATAAGCGCCTAGATGTGCATGCACGTCGCACTCCCGTTGCGTTGGATCGTGAAGAGATCTCGCTCCACGAGCGACACGTCACGCGCGATTCGGTCCCCGACCTGACGGAGCCGGAGGGTACAACACACGCTTCTCAACGCTTAGCCGACGGCGAAAGGAAGAGTGTTAACAGTCTTGAGTTGTACACGCAGCTGATACTGTTCGTTTTTTTTCTCCTTCGTGTCGCAGACGCGATGATTCTTTCGAGCATGAGTGTCTCCGTAGCGAGCGAGACTTTAACGATTACCCACCTCGACGTCGTGAGAGAAAAAAAAAACGCACTTTGATGATGCAAACTGCGCCGCATTACACCTCTAACGTGATGCCTGCACAGATTACACGCGCGACGGATAAATAACGTCTCGCGATTGTTGTTGCATACAACGGGGGTTGCATCCCCTGCGAGATAATTCGGGGAGGGGGGAAGGGGGGGGGGAGACACGAATTCGAATCCGCAAACGCACCTCGCATCTTCATGGCCCATCGAATCCATCCCGTGCGTAGCATCGGAGTCGCGCGCACGCACAGTAGGAGAGTCCTCGAGAGTCTATAGCCGCTTCTAATTAATTTCTAGCGATAATTAACGGCCGCTTACCTAGTACGCAACGTATACTGAAATATATTCAACTTGTTATGTTCTAGCATTCATGCTGTGCTACACCCAGGACGACACTAACACTGAAGGTAATCATGTCTCTCTCTTCTCTCTTCGCTCCCGCTCTTTCTATCTCGTGATCTTTAGTCCCTCCACCCCCTCCCCTCCCCTTTTCTTTGTCTGTCTATCTATCTACTTATCTCGCTGTCTGTCCCCTATTTTTCTCTCTCTCTCTCTCTCTCTATATATATACATATATCTCTCCTATATACTCTTCCTCACACCGAAGAGATCGTATTGCCTGGGTCAGTCATGCGGGATAACGAATTTCGGTCACGATATCGTTTCGCAATTACGCTCGGATAAGTTAATACAATTAACGTCGGTACAAGCATCGCATTAGTGTTAATTATCACGTTAATTGTCACGTTCGTTACAATAATATTTAATATAAAATACCGATATTAACGTTCGCGTAGTTAGAAAACGCATACCCGGCATAGCAGCCTGAAATTCGTCGGAAATGCGTAACAATGGCGCTTGAAATTTTATCGCTACAGTATTTGCGAAATGCTCTGAACGAAAATCTCATCCCTCCGTTCATCCGCCATTTCCGTCCTCGCGAGAGATGATCGATCACGCTTGCATTCACCAGCGATAATTCAGCAATCAAATATATACGACGCCGGCCTTTATTATACGTCGCCGTGGGTAGTATAGCATATCTATTGTTTTGTTCCAATGGCAGCGTGCATATTCATACGGGATGAAAAGGTCAGCTCGAAATCTTCATGACTTAATAATGACGAGGCTCGTGCGGCTGATGCATATACACATGAGACGCTCGTTTATTCGGGCCTGAAGAATACAGGTGGCCCACACCCGCGAGCATCAATGTGTAATAGAACGATTAATGAGGAATGATACGCGACGACGACTCGGACGTGCGATATTAATACATCGCCGCCGCACGAGAAAAGTGACACGGGCCGGAAATAGCAGTTTTACGGGGGAGCAATTTTAAACTTTCAATCTGCTCGCAGATCGTACACAGCCGCGGCCACATGGCCCGATAATTGCCGCCATCCTTTTCCTTTCCTCGCCTCGATAGATCTTTCTCCGGCAACGTGAGGCTGGTATTTTTCTTCTAAACGTTCCCTCCCCTCGCCGTCACTATTTTTAAGCGGAACCCAATCTTCGCACCGGTCCTCTTTTCGGACGCCGGTTTCGTAACTACACTTTTGACGCTCTTCTGGGTAAACGTGCATACGTTTTCCAGAGTCGATAAATTGTACATAAACTCATATCTCTTACTTGTGTCACTTTTCTCTTGAAAAGGGGGACATAAAAGAACACGCGTGCTTGTTCTCACACAATGCGAGTACAAGCGGAATTTACTATCGTAAATTTGAAATAGGCACTTGCCAGAATGTGATTTCGAGTTGAACTCGCCGAGAGCTTTCGACGACCCCGCCACGAGCGCGCTGTCCATCCGCGAAACTGCGCGCCCCGCTCTTTTAGAGTCTCATCTTAGGGCCTCGATAGTCGCCCGATACTCTTCCTCCGTCGCCGTAGCTCATCACTCGCCTCTCATTCATCGCGTACTGCACCCCCTGTCTCTCCGCATCTCTATCTCTCTCTTTTCTTATTCGTTTAAGATTTGTCTTGCGCCGCAGGGAGTAAAGAAATTTTGTATCGCGTTCAGCTGCCGTATATGGAGGAACTCACGTTAGTTTATCTGGAAAAGGAGGGCGACGGGCCCAATGACGAGCTTAGTAAGTCGCAGCCGAGAGCAAATGTGTGAACCGTAGCGTGGGCGCGGCGCGCGCACACAAAGCCGATTTGTTCCCCCCCGTAGGAAACTAACGCAGATCGCAGACGATTGTTGTAACCCTGTCGACGGGCGAGTGTCCCGAAGAGAGAGGAAAAAAAAGAGATACTCGTGAATAACTGAATAACGTTTGCAGTCTATTGTGTCAGCTAACGATCCTTGATATCGATCCTCCGATCTTTCCATTAACGCTTCCGCCCGCGCGCGAATTGGACGCGGATCGGGATCGCGAAATTCGTTTAGACGCCGCCGCGATTGCTGTAATACTGTAGATACAACTTTGCGACGTCTCGATATTCCATTTCTCGTCGTGTTTTCGCTATTATTAGTTAACACAACGCGGTCCGTCGACCTCTCCGCGCTCGCAGAAAAGATGCTATTACACTTCGATCTGTCATGAAATGTGGCGACAGTCACATATTAACCACATCGATTTAGCCTACGCGCAAGAGCGCATAAACTCGTATATGTTGCACAGTAATGTCCATCTCTACCAATGTAGGTTGACCTTAATCTCGGTTTAACTTGCTTCTTCTAATTTTTGGAATTAGAAAAGGATAAAAATCATTAAACCGAGATTCAAATTTGATCGGCATTGGTAGAAATGGATATAAGTCTAACTTAAGCCAACTGCACTACTTTTCCTACTGAATTTCTTGCGAGAGCTATTAAGGGCCAGTTTCACAAACATCGGTCAACTGTTAACTAGGATTCAGTCGACTCCCTATCTTTTTTCATCTTATTATTTAAGAAGAGACAGCGGATCAATTAACCTTTGGTTAGCAGTTAACCAACGTTTGTGAAACTGGCCCTAAGAGTTTTAGGTAGCCTAAAGGCCGAATCAGACTAGCAATTGTCGACTCGGATTTGATTGGCGATCGGTGATTGTCTTCCAGCCAATGAGATTGAATCGCTTTGCTCTCATTGGCTAGAAAACAATCGTCAATCGCCAATTCCTATCCAATCAGAGTCGACAATTGCAAGTCTGATTCGGCCTCAAGGCTAAAATCCTGAGTAGCTCTCGCAAAAATTCCAGTGGGGGAAAAATAGTATCGTGTGCCGCTGGCTTTACTTAATTCGAGAAAGGAGAATGGAAATTATTGGAATCTTAATCTTATCGGTATTCACAGTTCTTGTGTCCAAGATCGTCTCGTTCTTAATGTGTTGTAAACCAATCAGAACCGTACTGGCATCTTAAGATATTACTCCAGATGATCTTGAAATAAGGGGCTTGTTTTCTGTTCCTGCACTGGTGAACTAGTGCAGTAAGCTAGAATGAGAAAAATATACTTGTCTTACTCCAATTTATTGCACTAGTTCATCAGTGCAGGAACAGAAAACAAACCTTAGAACTACCGGCCATTGTTTTATTTTCTACGTGAGATTGTGATCGCAAATGCGATAAGTTTAAATATATCAAGAATATTTGCTGTTTCATCAGAAATCCCTTCCGCGAGAGGGTAGCCGTGTTTCGCCAAATTTATTTCCCGACGGAAGAAGTCGCGATCAAAATCGAAGAGCAATCGCGAGTGCAGTACGTCGGTTTTTAAGGCACCGGTCGAGAAAAACGTCTGTCTCCTTCGACAGCTTCGTTAATTTCCTTCGGGCTCCTCTTCGCGCTAAATTACTGACGAGGCGCGCAATCGAGACGGCCTCGGCTATCGCGAGGTGTTTTCTCGTTTTCTCTTCTTTTCTCCACTCCTTTCCCCTCCCCCTCCCCCTCCCCGTAGACATTAACAGCAGCAGAACGCAATTAGGACGCTGAAGTGGACGATGAAATCGCGTCGCTTCTTCTCGTCGCGCCGGAAACGCGACGGCGTGCCCCCATTTCCTCACTTGGCTCGCGTTAAGAGTTCCGGGCCCACTGCCTATCCCACGATTGTAACCCGGGAAGAAGCGACGTGGCCGTCGCATTAATATCGAGTTCGTAACATATGTTAGCGGTGATGTTGATTACGAATGGAGACCCCAACTTCCCACCTGTCTGTCTCTTTCTCATTATTTTTTTATGTGTTTCTTCCCCCCCCC